AAGCTTATCACTGCTCTTATCCACAGTTAAGGAAATAGGGATTTAGAAAGGTTGAAACTTTTTCAAGTTCACAAAGCTGTCAAGTGGCACAAGTACGGGTTAGAACTTCAATGCAACTATCTTCAAACGCAAATTCTTAACCACTACACTATACATTATTAGACGCCTATGAATGTGACCTTGGTCTTCATCTGTTAGCTGTTAATCTCCAGGTTTGGACTGACTCTGTAAATGTCCCCATCCAAACACAGGTATGAACCCATGTGCATTTCCCTAAAATTCTACTTGTTTGAAGAAGATTACTTCCCACCAGAATGGGATTGTTCTTCAGGCTAAGACATCCAAGGGGTCATATGTTCTTGTTAGGGTCTTCTCATGTGAGATAGAGCAATAGAAGAAGCCAGAGGAAGGGGGTTACATGAAGTAAAACCCTACCAACTCTAGGATTAGCCCTTTACAATGGAGTTTCTCAATGTAAAGGTCATAAATAATATAATTCATCTCTATTTTCCAATTTCAAGCTACAGAATATCTGGTTAATATAGGGCTTAGAAAATATTTTAATGTATTGGTTGTTTAATAATATTTTATTCCAAAATTATATTTATCTTCTCTTTCACTAACCTGAGAATATATAAGTTCCTTAAGCCTTGGGAATCTGCAGTTTAAAATTATTCTAATCTTATGTTTTGCTATCTAAGATTTCCAAAGATATATCAAGATTAACCTTCTTTCACTTTTAAGACACTTAATTAAGGACAAGTTCTTTATTTTTCTAAGGTTTAAATTTGATATAGTGTTTTCCCAATTTGAAAAAAAAACGTGGCAGTATTTAAAATGAAAGCCTGGGAATATTTAAAAGAAGTAGGACATAGATTATGTGTGTAAACCAGTTAGTATAAAAAAGGTAACAGTTTTGGGAAGAGTAGAAAAAGAGAAAAAAACAACCTCATCTTTGTAAAGTGATTTTTTTTCTTGTTAAAAAAGTGGGCACAGATGTCTCACACAGGAATGGGGAGAGCTGCAGGGGCTTAGATCACAAGGCAGTCAGAAGAAGTACCTCCTGCTAAATGTGATTATATCTGTGACCCCATAAACAAGAAGACACTGAGACTAGATGTCACTGACTTGATTAATTTTCAAATAGGACAAACACAAGCAGGGAAGACTGATGCTCTGATTTTCCTAATTAACTCAGATGATTCATAGTGAGTTAATAACTGAGGTCTCCACTCTTGCGTCAACCAGATGGGCCGAGCTTGCTTAGTGAGAAATGATCTGAGACTTCATATGTGCAAGCAGTCCCCTACGAAGCCTGATTTTTAACTCACTATGCTTCTAATGCTAGGATTTTTGACTTGAATGAAAGCTAGCCCTGTTCTAGCTCTATAAAAAAGAAAAAACAAAAAACAAAAAAACAAACCATGGATTGAAATGTTTGCCTTCTGGCTTTCTAAAGGCAAAAATAGAAGTATTAATATTACTTTGTTCACAATTTCCACTTAATAATTCATGTAACTGACAATTATCAATGACCTGAGCAAACATTACTGGGATCTGAGAAATGTAGTTTTAGCTTTTATTTGCCTATATCCTTTCTAGTAGATATGGAGGACTAAACTATGTTTGAACAAGAGAGGCAGAATCTGGATATTGAGTATCATCTGAACTTTTTAAATTTTTTCCCCACTGCTTTACTAGACAGTAGAAGTTCTTTCTGCCAGTCTTTCGAATTCCAGGTTTTGTCCAAAGGAACACATGCCTTATGTCGACATATCAGTCTTCTGGGGAGTTAGGAATGCAAAGATCCCTTTTTGTACCTTCATAATCAACACATTTGTTGAGAATAAAAAGGGCCAGGCTTTGACATTTTCCAGCTTGTTATCTGTTTAATTTTCCATCTGCTTCTTTTGCCACTGCCTTCCAAAGGAACATCTGCTGCGTATCTGAGAGAAGGGAAGGGAGATTGGATCTGTGCCACCTGGGTCTGCAGTCTCAAACCTTGGGATCCAGAATAGGGAAGGGAAGAAGACTAACAAATGGTCCAGAAAATGAAATGAGGGCAAACAGTCTTTTAAGAACAAAGACATTTCCCTTTATTGAGGAGCCCACGTGACCAGGCTAGCTGGGCAGCAGTGTTTACAGGCAGCAAGGGCTAGCGGCAGGGGGAGGCAGCTGGTGACAGGAGAAGTACATGAGCAGTATCCAGAGCCCAGATGCTCCCTCTGGCATCTTCCTCTCCATTTGGTACCCTGTTCCTCACATGCTCTTTAAATGTTTACTGGGCAGCTGCTGTGAGCAGCTTTGTTCTGGGCATTCTGGAAGCAGAGATGAATAAGACATAATTCCTACTCTTAAAGAGCTGGCCTAAAAATGGGGGAGATAGACAAGCAAACAACAGAGAGAAATATGAAGTGGTAGATTCTATGCCTTAAAAAAGGCATAGGGAAAAGATGTCACAGGAACACACAGAAGGAAAGGAAGTGAGCTTAATCCTGCGACGTGAAGTGGTGTTTCAGGGGGAGGAAGGGCTGTACAGAGACGATGCCATGAGCTGAGTCTGGAAGCATAAGTGGGTATACTATTAGAAAACAAGTTCTTTTTTTCTCCTTATCACCAAGGGGCAGCACATAACAGCACATCTTCATAATTGACTCAAAAAACTTAATCCCCCAAAGCCTTAAGCCCACCCATCACCCCTCTCAATGCCAACGCATCAATATTTATGTTAAGAATGTCAACCAACTGTTTTGTGTCATTTCTTAATATTATCTGGAGAGTCACTAGTGGGGATAGCAAACTTTCATCACAGTGAGAAGTGTCAGCATAATAATTTCCTGATTTGCTACAATGGAGGAATGATGGGATAGCCAGTTTTCTGACTTTAATTTTCCTTAAATATCTAACTTTAACATCACTAAAATCTTTACACAGGTATGAAAGACCATAGTAGCAAATGCAATAAATTCTTAGGGTTAAGAGTTTATCTGCAAACAATCAGGTACTGAATGAGTACCTAATCTGGACACCAGGAGGGATATAGAAGTCTAAGACATGACCTTTGTGTCCAAGAGGCTAAAACCAAATTGCAATGACCAGAGTGCTTAAATTGGATAACTAAAAGGAAGACAAAACAAAACAAAACAAAAAGAAAGAGAACATAAACTTCTTTCTGTAGTTCTGACTTGAGAAATATTAAACATTTAAATGAGAAAAAAATAAGGCCAACACTATGCTTCATTGCTCAGTAAATGTATGCTTCCTTCACTTTTCAATGCTGTCTACAAATAGGCATAAAACTTCTTATCATTTGCTTTAGATTAGTCATAGTGTATACTGAGATGCAAATATAGTTGGCATAATCTCTGACTATACAATTATGCTTTGTCTTCATTTTACTAAATTTTATTTTAAAACTGTGTTGGCGAAATGGAAATAACAGTGGGGAATCAAACACACCTTTCCTTCTATCATAACATTTTCTTTTTGTCTCAAAGGAAAGCTTTCCTTGATTTAAAAAAATGCATTGGAAAATAATTATTTAAAGTTTTTATTGTCAATAAATAGCAAGTTATGAAATTAAGTATTTTGTGTATTTTTTAGCTTGATTTAACTCACCAAAAATCTTCATGATTATTATGAGTATGTAGTGTTTAGTTTTATGGTTAGTTTCTTAAATGGAGTTTAAGGACATTACAATTTTTAATTTTTATTTTATGTTTTTGGCCTTGAATTTTATTTATTTATTTATTTATTTATTTATTTTTGATTATCCATATTTAACAATCTTTAATTTTTAAATAAGACCATTAGATATGGTGGATAAGAAAATTTACTGTTTTGTTCACCTATAAAGAATGGGCTTAAAGAGAGACTGATGATTGAAACCTCTGATTATTTCAAATTAGGAAAGAGATAAGGTTTTCTATGGCATTAGGTTGTCTGCTAACAGAAAAAAATGTAAAGTAATTTATATCAGGAGGCCACACTCCAATATTTTCTAATTTAGAGCTGCTACGAGCACAGAATAGTTTTGAGTTGGAAGTATGTCAGAGTTACTTGTTCTGATTTGTGAGAAAGCTGAGATCCAGAAAGGTTAAATAACTAAATTTTGTTTGGGTTCACAAACATGCCCTAAAATTCTCCAGCACATCATGACTCATGGCATTATCTTCTCACCATCATCCCTTTCAGTTTTGTATTTTCAACCATGAAAAATCATTTTGTTTAAGGACAGAGCCAAACAAATCCTTTTCTTGGCTGAACTTGAATATACCATTTCCACTCAAGGCTCTAGAAAAAAGCAGATTTAGTTGGCTGGGCCCATGAGCTGAAAGAGTGGTTCTGGCACCATTTCAATGCCAACCTGGTTTTCTTTGTTCTCCCTGAAACTTTAGAGGACAAGAGCCACTGGTACCATCCACAGCTCACCCATCTACCTTGACTAAGCTTGGCAAGTACGGCCATTAAGTCTGCATTGATCTCCTGTAGGCCTGGCTCTGTTTGAATGAATGGTGCTCTTGTGGATGAGGTGTTGTGCTAGAGGTCAGCTGCAAATAAGCTTCAGGTAAAGTTACTGAGGGAGGAACAAAGGCAGATTTAGTAAACTGTTTAAGTATTTCAAGCCTGAGATTTTCTAAAGTTTAAAATAACTACATATAATTTCCTTTGGCTTCAGCATAATATGGATCAGGCATAATAAATACATCAAGAGGGAATTAAGCCAATTGCTGAAACACGACAGCATTTTGTTGGAAATATATGAGATAATATATTATGGCATAGTCATCAATATTCCAGTCATTTCTGCAGCTTTTTATTCATCTTCTGGTAGGTGGATGGAGCTCTGCAGCAGTCCCCAGAGCCCAACACATCTTTTCTCCTCTCTAACCTCTCCCTCAGTAGGATTAATCTGAGATTGATGGGTCCATGAGGGGAAAATCACTCCTGATTATTTTTCCCTACCAGACTTCTAATTGCCTTTGTTTTGTCACCTTTAGGACTACCAAGAAGCCTCCAATTTGGAACAATTTGTTACTCGATTTTTATTGAAGGAGACCTTGAATCAGCTGCAGTCTCTTCAGAATTCCCTGGAATGTGCCATGGAAACTACTGAGGAGCAAACCCGTCAAGAAAGGCAACTAAACGTTTTCATGTCTTGTCTCTCTATCGTGGAAAATCAGTTGAGGGGCATTATACTTATAGTAGTTAAAACTAAAAATAAGAATAGATTTAAAAAGAATGGCAGGAATCTCCACTGGGTGCTTGCCTTATTATTTGCCTCTAAAAAGATCATTCCATTTTTTTTTATTGTCCATCATTTATTCAATAAATTTTAATTGAGAATATAGTAGATGGAGAAGACTTTAAAAGATATTAGAGGTGACATAAAGATACATTTAATATAATGTCAGTCCTTAAGTCTTTTATGTAAATAAGACATGAACACTAAAACTATACTGCAAGGTACAGAGTGACAAATACCATAGAGATGGGGAAATAAATTGCCAATATGTTTCAGAAGAGTAAAAGATTAACTGTGGGTAGAGGGATGAAAGTCAATTGCATGGAGTTTCTCTATAACATTTGAGCTTGTCTTATAAATGGGTATAATTTGAAAATGAGGACATTATAGCAAAGAGCCTAACAGATTAAGTGAACCTGGATGGATATACTGGGGAGACTTGGGAATTCAATAAGCCTAATTATTTAAGGAAGTGGATAAGAGAAAATGAGGGGAAAGATTTCAAAATTCAATGCCGCCAATAGGTATCACCAAGAAGAGTGATATTCTAAGAGCTGTATAAAAGCACTAATGTTAAAGAGAAACCTGTATTAGAAATGTGGAAAGCAGACACCAAAATAATTCCAGCCAACAGATGGTACTTTCTTGAGTTATCATTGTTTATACCTTGCAAGCTTAAGAGCTATATAAAAGCACTAATGTTAAAGAGAAACCTGTATTAGAAATGTGGAAAGCAGACATCAAAATAATTCCAGCCAACAGATGGTACTTTCTTGAGTTATCATTGTTTATACCTTGCAAGCTAGAGAAGGGCTTGGCACAACTCTTGCTCCTGTCACATATGTTGGCTGATGTGTTACTTTAAACTTACAGATGTGCCTTATCTAACTTTTGCATCTTAAATTAGAGAGAATCATATAGTAAGTTTTTTGAACAGGCTGATAGTAGACCACTGTGTAAAACCAATTTTTCTAAACAAATTAATGGATACATAATTATTCGGACATGTCCAAAAAACAGTGAAAGTTTCAACCATGTGTTTACAACATAAAATGAGTGAGCACCACCAATTCTAACAAAAAAGCCTGTAATTCCAGAATCTAATGAGCTTGTGCAGCTGACAAATGCAGGGATGCACTCTTCGGTGGATCTGTGCAGCATTCTTCACATTATAAACTTCCTATTTTCACTGCATTGGGCGGTTGTATTACCAAATGACAAAGTGTAACAATTAACTTTAGAAAAGCAATGACATAGCTCCTCAGCTTTGAGCAGAGAATAACTGAATATCCTGAAGCACAATGAAATTGATTTCATGTCCCTAATGAGAAAATGAGAACTGTTTTGTTCTTTCTTTTGTTTAGACTTTCTGGAAATAAAATGGATTCTCTCTTTTTATAATCTATCATTTGCCACCTGAGAAAAGGCTTGAAAAGGTGCCCTGCTCACCTTCTTCACATGCAGTTCTGTCTTTTTTTCTATAGTCGTCTCCTGCAAGCGCGTGCTCTGCATTTACCACGATAGAGCAAATGTTTAATGAACAACCGTTCTTTGTGTTGGGCCACAGGCTAGCCTTGAACTCTTATGATTGCTGCCAACAGCTGCATAGCAGCTGTGTTTAATGAGAAGGAGCAATGGTAATACAGAGTTTAAGGCACGTAGAAGACACTAGAGGATTAAGGAACCTTTTACTTCTAGATTTCTAGCTCAAAGAGAGCTTCAGGGAAATAATGAGAAATATTACTGGTGTGATGTTAATTTGGGGAGTGCTAGTATATGGTATTTGACTTAGGTACTCAGTGACACCCAAATACCACCCCAAATCTGTGATACTCCTCCCTGGGAGGTTTCTGAAAAAAAATGCATAAACAAGCAAGTAGAAAACGAGGTTTATGCCTGTAGTATTCTATGTGAAGTCACTGATGAACCAGACTGAAGCATGCAAACTAGGCCCAAACCAAAGGCAGCTGTGTCTCCTCTCCTGCATAAACAAGCAAGTAGAAAACGAGGTTTATGCCTGTAGTATTCTATGTGAAGTCAGTGATGAACCAGACTGAAGCATGCAAACTAGGCCCAAACCAAAGGCAGCTGTGTCTCCTCTCCCCAGGCTCCATCTTCCTATCAGCTGGCCACCAAAACCAAAGAGAGGAGAGCCCCCAAGGTCCTCACAGGTGAAATAAGACAGAGAAGAAAGCTGTCTCCTTCCCATTATATCAATCAAGAAACCAGTGAAAACGCCTTTTGGAGACACCACTTGAACTGGACCTTTAAGAATGGATTTAAATGGCAGAATAATAGTCTCCCTGAGGGAATCAGTCTCCTCACCCTCCCATATCACCCATCTCTCGTCTGGCTAGCTCCTCCTAGATTGTTTGGTAACTGGACAGTACTTTCTCTGGAAAGCCTTCACTGCTCCCACAATAGGATTTCACACCTCCCACTTCACCATCATCTACCCCCATAGCACCCTATATTTATATCTACTTATCTTAGTCCCTTAATTGTTTATCTCCCCCATTAGGCTTTGAGTTTCTGGGTGACAGGGACTTTGTGTCGTTCTCCTCTCCTTGGTAAAACTGCATGTTAAGTATATGGAACTGGATGAATGAAAGGAAATTTCAGGTAAAGAGAATCCTACAGAGGAGCAGTAGGTGAGGGCCTGGGACAGTGAGGAGACCAATCTAATTGGCATCTGGGATTAAGAAAGATCTTAAAAGCTAGTCAGGCGCATTCAGACTAAATTCCATCAGAGATTGTCACTGGTGGTTGTAAACAAGAGAGCAATATAATGAAAACAAAGTTTAAGGAAAATTAGTCTTACAATGGAGTATAGTACAGATTTGAGGAAGAGAACAGGCTGTGTGAGGAGAGGTCAAATCAGGGTATCCAAAAATTAATCAGTTTTTTTATGTTATAGAAGAGATTCCATGATGCTTTTGCACAGCCATGAGTTATATCCCACATTCCTAGGGTTGTAATAATTTACTTCCCCTTCAGCATCAACATTACTTTGGGATTTAAAATTTTTGAAACCTAGGGATACAAAGACTCCTTGGGATATAGCAAATTTGGAGAAGTCATCTGTTCCATCTCTCAGCCCCAAGGCAGAATCGCACAGTATCATTCATCCTGCAGTAATGAGTTAGGCATGCTGTGTTGGGCAAACTGTCTGTGTTTATCCATGTGAAACTGACAATTTCAGAGAGAAGGGATGTGTATAGCTGGAATGCCACAGAGGTGAGATTTTCAGATGGCATTCTACAACACTCTTTGTATCTGCCCTGGAAAACTGACTAAATGGGAGCCACTTTAATTCCATGTCTTTTGCAGGTCCTAATAGCCAGTGACAAGAGTAAGCATTATGATATTCTGAAATATCCCTCCAGAGACTCCTGTCCTCTTACATAAACTTCTCTTTCTCACAAACTAGATTTCTGGGAACAGTTTAATTATATACGGATTTCTTTTTTATAATGGAATCTGCAAGTTTGTTGTATTTTTCAAAGCTTTCCTATATCCAGGTATATGAGTGATTCCTTCTGAGCTTAGAAGTTATTTTTCTCCTTTTGATATTGTCTATTATAGAAAAAAAGGATTTAATTTTACCTATGGGTGATTATAAAATTTCAGAGGGCTTACATTCTCTTAGCTTGAACATGGAGAAGGACTGCTCTGATCGCCTACTCCTGCAACCACCAAAACTGCTAGAAAGTTGGGGTTTTTTTAATGCCACAGGAAAATCCATAGGGAGATTTAGTTAAAGATTAGAGATAAAACATACATGATTTATTTTGCTGTCTCCCTAAGCCCTTCAAAAATGACGTTAAAAGTGCCTGTATAAAGGAGGCATTAAAGCACAGAAATAAAAAGGATAGAAGAGCCAAAGGAACAGAATCCAGAAAAAAGGTGAATCTAGTGGAAACTGACTTAGAAACTCTGCAAGCTAAAACTTAAGCAGGCAGTGTAAGAAGATGGAATGCACTTGATATCACAGAACCTCAGAAAAGCTCAAGAATTGGTGCACTACATGCAACTGATAGTGAGAGTGAAGGTAGAGCTGACATTGCTAAAGCTCCAAACAGCGCTCCATGGTGACTGTCCCCCCGCCCCAAGTCCTTGAAGAGCCCTAGTGGTGTGTTCTCTGGAGAAGGTGAGCAGATGTACACCTGACACAATGGGGGACCAGGGCACAATACGAACAAATGAGATATTAAGTGAAGGTCTGAAACCCCCTTTGCACACTGTTTCCAGAGCATCGACAGCCGGGTTCACATCTTACGGTTGGTGGATGCTCTCTGAGGGATTTGATCAGTCCAAAGAAAGGATTTAATGGTGCCTATGGTCAGGGTCCCCCAGTGAATTAGCCCAGTCAGGCCACTCTATAGTGGAGATTATGAGTTGCAATCCTCACCATACACAAAGAGGTTCCAATCAGTACACCTTCTGAAATGTGTGGGGAAACCAAAAGAACAAATCAAACACAAGAAAAGAAACTTAGAAGAAACATAAATAATCCAGAGAGCAAAAGAAAACTTAAAAAAAAAAAATCATCAGTACCCTCAGAAAGCTAAGAGAAGATACTGCATTTATGAATCAAGGACAAGATGCTGTTTAAAAAAAAAAAGAATATTCAAAGCAGACAAAAGGGCTCTTGGAAATTATGTGTGATTGCAAAAATGAAATTCTCTGAGGAAGGTTTGATAAAAGAGTGTGATGAAATCTCCACAAAGAGATAAAAAACAGGAAGGAAATAATAAGAAAACTAGACGGTTAGTCAAGAAGTCTAATATTAATAAAATAGCAATTCCAGGAAGAGAACAAAGTAGAAAAATTATCAAAGGAATAATTCAAGAAAAATTCTCAGAGCAAGGACATGAGTTTCCACCTTGATA